CAACAGGGACCTGCCACCTCTGTATTCTTCTTTCCTCCAGCCCCATGGAGGATGCGATAACACACCCAGGGTTTCTGGGGTGTCTGCTTGGTTCCTTGGCAGCCAGCGAGGCACCCTGGGATGGGAAATCCGGCAGCCTCCCAGATATTATAAACAATTACTGCTAATTACCAGGCCTGCCAGTTCCCCATTGTCTGCTCACAGTCCCACCAGGAACCAAGGAGCAGACAATGACGATGTTGGAGGAAACTTTCAATTTCAGGCTGCAGAAGGCCGACTCTGTCTGGGAGGCTGTGCTCCTTTAGTGACTTGGAATTCAAGAGACACCGCTATTTCTCGGGCTTTTGGAGACCAGACCCTCTTTACAGAATGGAGCTTGGACCCCTCCTGAGCCCTTCAGATGGCCAGGAGGGTGGGATGGAAACGAGCCGGGGCTGTGGAGGAAAGGCTGTGTCACCAGCCTTTGCAAGAGAGTCTAGTTCTTAGCCGTGGTGCTGTTAATTAAGGCTCTTTGGTTTTGCAAGAATGATGGTACACACTTCCGTCCCCAGATATTTAAATTATTTTTCGCGTACTTTCTCTATGATACTGTTGCATAATTGTTGAGAAAATAGATTCAGAAGCCCAACTGCTTGGATTCAAATACCACTCTGCTTCTGTCTTGATTTGGCCTTCTCTCGGGTACAGTGGGAACATATGTTCCCCTCTGGTGCCTGGAGGGACAATAGAGCCTCAGACTCTCACAGGTTCACTTGACAAGACACCAGGCAGCCGTTTCTGCAAAGCATCGTGCCTTTTTCTCAGCTCCACCTAATAAAAGGATGGGCACAAGTCCCCTCTGCTTTCACATTCCCAAGCCTAGCTGGGACTTCCTGTCATCCCTCAGCCCAGCCCAGCCCAGGGACCCAGACCTTCGTCGAGGATCCTCCAGCATCTCAGCTCCCTTCTGTCCCTGCCTGACATCTTCTGCCCTCCCAGGCTGGGGATTTTTTGTTTGTTTGGGGCCAGGAGAGCCTAATTTTGTACCTATCCTTCTAGGTCTGTTTCTTCTTGGATTTGAAGCTTAAAAGCCAAGAATCTGTCTTCTTCTCTGGCTACTGCCTGAGTGGGGAAAGGGTGGCAGGGGGAGGTAGAAAATCATGAAAATGAAAAGCGTGCAGGCTAAAGTGTCAAATTATTATCTTGCCAGCAACTCTGCTGATAACTTAAGTAAAAACAATTTGGGGGGACAGTGCTGGGATGTCTCACGTGGTTGAGGAGAGCAGAGCTGCCAGGACTGGCCAGCTAGTAGTTTGGGACTCTTTGCGAGGGCAGACCATTCACATGGCTCAGTTTCTCATGACTTTTAGCCTCTGGGATTCTCTTTCTGTTTTCCCAGAGAGTGTCTGTTTGAGCTTGAGTCCAGTGTCTACCCCTCGACCCCATCAGCTCTGGCCAGGAGACAAGGTCACTGGGTTTAAGGAAAGCCAGTTGCAATAACCTGCCTCTCCAATCAATGACTTCATAAAAACGTTGATTTCTTATTCATGCAAACGTCAATACAGGTGTTTGCCAACACAGATATTTCTAGTCCTTTGGCCCCAGGCTCCTTTTTCTCTTGCGGCTTCACCATCCTCAGGGCCTCAGGACCCTCTGCCAGCGACGTTGATGGGGGAAGAGAGATCATATGTGAGAAGTTTTTGTTTTTGTTTTTAATTGTGGTAAAATACATACAATATCAAATTTACTGTCGTAACCATTTTACCTTCACCACCATCCATCTTCAAGATTCTTCTCCTCTTGTTAAAGGGAAACTCTGTACTCATTAAACATTGACTCCCCCGCTTCTTAGCCTCGGTAACACCGTTCTGCTTTCTGTCTCTATGAATTCGATTCCTCGTATATGTGGAATCGTATAGTATTTATCCTTTTGTGACTGGCGTATTTCATTTAGCATAACATCTTCAAGGTTTATCCATGCTGTAACATGTGTCAGGACTTCTTTCCTTGTTATGGCTGAATAGTATTCCGTCGTGGATGTATACCACACCTTTCTTATCCATCCATCCGTTGACAGTTACTTGGATTGCCTTCTACCTTTTGGCTATTGTAAGTAATGCTTCTATGAACACGAGTGTACAAATATCTCTTAGAAAGTCTGCTTTCAGTTTTTTGTTTGTTTGTTTTTTGGTATGTACCCAGAAGTGGAATTGCTGGGTCACATGGTAGTTCTATTTTTATTTTTTTTGAGGAACTGCCTTACTGTTTTCTACAGGGGCTGTACCATTTTATATTCCCACCAACAGTGCACAGGGATTCCAGTTTCTTCACATCTTTGCCAGCAGTTGTTGTTTTGTGTTTTAAATTTTGTTTTGTTTTTGACAGTAGCCATTTTAAGGCATGAGAGATAGTATGTGGGAGGTTTGTACAGGCCAGGCCTGGAAGTGGACCACATCCCTGCAGCTTATATTTATTGGCCACAGTTATTTACAAGGCTCGGAAGTGGATTGAGCTGTGTGCCCAGGAGGAAATGAACGCACAGTGTTTACCAGGCTCAGAAACACACACCGGGCTTCCGGGAGCCTACGCCATGCATTGGGATCGGTCCCAGACAAGGGGAAGATATCGTGTGCCGGGGCAGCCAGCTGAAAGGTGGCTTCCACAAGCAGACCAAGGTTTAAATCCCGCTTCTCCCACCCTCTCACTGTGTGACCTTTGGCAAGTGGCTTTCCTTTGTTGAACCTCAGCGTCCTTGCATGTCAACTGAATAGAAGCATGCCTCCTTCAATAGAACCACTACAAGAGTCACACCAGAATGTACAGTCCATGAGGGCAGGACTTTGCGTTGTTCAGCCTTGTAGCCCTGGAGCCTGGCAGGGTGCTGAGCCATAGTAGGGCTTGGTACTTGGGTGCCCAGTCCGGTGTGAGTGGGTAGGGGACTGGTTGTGCCTCGTTATGTTGTCTTTTTTAATCACCTCTTTAGGAGCAACACGTTTGCCTAGCAAAATGGTAAGTTGTATACAGGGTCTTCTTTGATCCCTTCAGTACCTTGCTTGGAATTTTATACATAAAGGTGCAAAATACTATTGGGCGACTTGAATCGGGAAGTAGCCTGGTTAGCAGCAAGCGCTGCATCATATAGACCATCCTATAGACAGGCAGGTGTCCTTCTCACTCCAGACCTCAGTCTTCTCATCTGCTGGGTTAGAGAACTTTCTCCTGTAACTGTCTGTTGAGCAAGTGGGCGAATCCTCTGCCAACTATGGGATTTTGTGAATTAACAATTAGGTATAATGTCAGAAAGATCTGGTTCGGGCACGAGGGAGCACGTCTAGACTGTGGAGACCTGGAGGCAGGAAGAGAGGACCACGATTGGATTGTCATCTCTGAAGAACTTTGGGAAAGATAAAGTAGCTGAGTGGTCCGGAAGCAGAAGGGAGCATCCATGTTGGGCAGAGCCAGAAAGCCAACTTTTCTTGTAAGCTCCTCCTGCTCCTTCAAGGCCAAGATCCCAGCAGGTTGCCCAAAAGCGGAGCTTTGGCTGGGGTGGTTCATGGGGCACTCCCAGGGCAGTGACCAAAGCATGCAGTGCTCTTGAGGCCCAAGGCAGCTTCCTCCTCCTACTCAAAGACCTCCTTGGCTGCTCTGTGAAACCTGGTATACAGTAGGTGCTTATTAAAAGCTAGCTGTTACTCTTGGAACGCACGCAGGTGGAAAGTCATCTGGGATTGGTGTTAGAAGTATTGTATTCAAATACTGACTCTGCCCTGTGCACTCTAGGGCTTTAGACCAGCTGAGGCTTGGCATCCTCATGTGGATAATAGTGCTAAAAGTGGAAAAAAAAAAACAAAAACTTTCTGTGGTGGTTTGCTCCTAAAGACAATAGAGGTACATCAAGCATGGTATTTGATACCTCATCTCATTTGCTACAACAGACCTAGGAGATGGTAACATTATCATTTTCATTTCAGACATGGGAAAGAGAAAACTAAAATTGGCTTAAGGAAAATATCTTATTATTATTGTGATTGTCGCTGTTGTTATTCGCTTGTGTAACAAAAAAAAAAAATGACATTCGCTTCAGGCAGAGCTTGATCCGGGAGCTCATGCAATGCTAGCAGTTTTACGGCTTCGTTCATGGATTCTAGAGAGTTGCAGGTTAACTGCCGAAGACTCCAGTTTTCTATCTTGGGTTCACATCTGGTGGAAGAGAGCTTCTCACTCCCTACAGTTCAAAGAAATATTCCCGGCTAGATTCTTGTGGGCTGTATCGGGGCACAAGCCCATCTCTGAGCCACTCACACTGGTCAAGGGAAGGAACACCCTGACTGGCCAGGCCGAGCTCATACCAGCCTCTGGAGCCAGGTCTGCTCTGCTCCATGGGAATCAATGTCTTGGGGAGAGGCCCCCCAAAGGATATTTTAGGTCTTATTCCCAAAGGAAGAGGGGGAAACATTGAGCAGCCCACAGCAACAACTAACGCAGACCTCCGAGGCCAAGCGGCTGGTCCCGTGCCTCTCAATCTGTCAGGTGCGAACAAGTCTTCTGGGGCTCGTGTTAAAAAGCAGATTCTGACTCAGCAGCTGGGGGTGGAGTGGGGTGCAGTTCTGTTTCAATGAGCTCTCGGGCGATGCCGATGGCCTCTGGATCACACTTTGAGTACCAGGGCACTAAACAGCCTGAGCCAAGTACTGACAAGCATCATCCAACCACCTCAAGAGGCAGGTATCACCATACCCATTTCACAGAGGTGAAACCTAAGGCTTGGCGAGGAGACATAGGGAGCTGGTACAGGACACAAAAGCTAAGCCCTAGAATTTTGGAGTCGGGGCTGGAATTTTAGGGCCATGAAGATAGAAAGAAGGTGAGAGATACAGGACACGGATCCGCCTGAGGCTGGGTGATAGTTGTGGACAGAATCGTCATAGCATGAGGCACCTTCTAGAACTGACCTCCGACTCGTCATAGCCTTCGGTCAGCTCCAGGAACTTTTGTTTTTGCTTCATTCTTCCTTCTTGCAGCCTTAACTATGGAGGAGTCTGCCTGGCATCGGACGCTCAGTTCAGTGACTTCCTGGGCAGCATGGGGCCAGCGCAGTTTGTGGGCCGCCAGACCCTGGCCACCACGCCGATGGGTGAGTGCCCTAAGACCTGTTCCAAAAGGGAGGGGTCTCGCCAGAAGCCCTGCATCCTCTTCCAAAGGGGGCGGTCCCACCAGAAGCTCTGCATCTCTGCTTTCTTCCCCTCTGCTTTGGCTGCATCTGCTGACACCCAATCTGGAGCCTGGTCCACACCTGCCAAGCCCTCAGCAGAGCCCAGGCATTTGGTGTGGGAGTTGGTTTTGCTCTTGTTTTGGGCTGGGAGCAGGAGGATCTGAGTCCTTGACTTAGGCTTGAAGCTGCTTCCTAGTCTCGTCTTGGGGGCTCTTGCAGGGGACGTCGAGATCGGCTTACAGGAGCGGAATGGTCAGCTCGAAGTGGACATTATCCAGGCTCGGGGACTGACGGCCAAGCCAGGCTCCAAGACACTGCCAGGTGTGGGATGCCTTCCGTCTGCGAGGCAGGGGTGGAGGTCAGGGAGAATGTCTGGAGGGATACCTGAATCTAGAAGAGAGAAAATTGAGCCCCACTGTGTGGGACCCCTTTGTTTCATCTCTAGTGACTCATAGAACTGGTGAGTCAAGGTTTCTTCTGGGGACCCAGTTGAGATTATCAGCTGACCTTGTCAGCCTCCCCTGCAGGACTGAGCTCCTGGAGAACATGGACCATCTTTCTTGTTTATGGTTATACCCCAGTGCCTGTTAGGATGCTTGGCACACAGTGGGTGCTCAGCAGACATTTGTTGAGTGAATAGATAGCAATGAATGTATAAGCCAGGGAAAGGGTGGGTGAGTCAGAGACAGAGGAAACAGGTGACTACAGGGTGAGCAGAAGAAGTGAGGAGGCAGGCAAGACTACCCAAGGGGGTGGAGTAGGTCCCACACAACCATGGCCGCACCCCACAACCCATACCCACCACCCCACTTGCTGGAGTTACCTCCTCCCCACACCCCACGGGGTGCTTCAATCCCCAGCAGTGAGTTGGTGGCTTCCCTCTGCCGAGCCCTTTGCCAATTCTTTGGGGCCCACACTAGAACTCACCCTGCTGGCCTCTGTCCCCAGCGGCCTACATCAAGGCCTACTTGCTGGAGAATGGCATCTGCATTGCCAAGAAGAAGACCAAAGTCGCTCGCAAGTCGCTGGACCCACTGTATAACCAGGTGCTGCTGTTTCCTGAGAGTCCCCAGGGCAAAGTCCTGCAGGTGAGGGCATGGCGTGTGTGCGTGCGCATACATGTGTGTGTGTGTGTGTGCGCGCGCGCGCGCGCATGCGTGTGCGCAGTCCCGGAGGGAGAGGGAGGCCCCCTCGGGGAGGGCCTAACCCAGAGGAAGTGGAGCATGGTGGTTGATTAGAGTTGCACAACTTGCCATGCAACTTCAAACCAGTTTCTTTCCGAGCCTCAGCTTCTTCATCTGTAAAATGGGGACACTATTAGTACCTACTGACAACAGTGACAGTAACAGTGAAATGTGTGCTTTGTGCAAGAAAAGTATTTGCAAATTTGGCCTGTAGTAAGTGCTCTACAAATGGCTTCCGTCATCATCATCATCATCAACAGCAGCAGCAGCAGCAGCAGCAGCAACAGCAGCCACCTCTAAGAGCCTTAGCCCAGAGCACAGTGATAATAGACTGGGAGCCTTTTGAGGATCCAGACAGGTGTTTGGCCCTCTGGCCATTAGGAGGATCCCAGCGGTGACTCAAAGCTGGAGCTAGAAATGGCCACCTATTGTGGGTACAGGCAAGGCCCGGGCCAGACGCCTGCAGGAGCCACATGCCGGTTCTCTCGGAGCTGTCCTTTGGGCACCTCTGGCTTGTACCCCAGTTTTGCACTCCTCACCTGGGTGGGCTGAGGAAATGAGGATGGGGCCATGGCGTGACAGGTTGCCAAGACAATGGGACTTTTGCCAAACTGGGAAGCCTGGGTCCTGTCTAGGACAGGGTTTTTCAGCCTGTGGGTTGAGACCCATTAGTGAGTTGCGAAATCAGTTTAGCCAGTCTCGGCAAATGTTTCTTTGATGGAATGGAATAGAAAAGAGAACATTTATCGCTCTTAGTAAGGGAAGTCTTCTGTGGTGGGCCACTTGCTTCAGTTGTGAAGCCCATGTGTGCACAGGCGAGAATGTAAATGTCTGTCAATCCCTGTCACAAAAGCTTGGAGAAACCCTGTAGTCTAGAGGTGTTTGAACACAGTGTGAAACAAGCAGACGGCTGTCCAGACTCCGTCCATGTTTCAGGAGCCGGTTTCCGAGGCTCTGGAAGCAGAGGGCCCATGGGGGAAGCAGGTAGGGAACTCATGATACAAGGTCAGTCAAGACCTGGGTTCAGAGATGGGGAATGCGGAGGATGGAATGAGCGGAGAAGGCACGGCTGGAGGCAGGAAGCCGGGCGAGGAACCATGGTAGCACCGGAGCCAGGAAAACGTGGTCAGATTTGAGTGATTTCCAGGCGGTCGAACCCACAGGACTCTGAGGTGTTTGGGGGCGGGGGTGACCCCAGGGTCTGGTTCTGGCCTTGGAGGGTTGGAAACACTGTGTCTCTTGCCCTGCAGGTGATCGTGTGGGGGAACTATGGGCGGATGGAGCGGAAGCAGTTCATGGGTGTGGCCCGCGTGTTGCTGGAGGAGCTGGACTTGACCACCCTGGCCGTGGGCTGGTACAAGCTCTTCCCCACCTCCTCCATGGTGGACCCATCCACAGGCCCCCTGCTCCGGCAGGCATCCCAGTTGTCCCTCGAGAGCACCGTGGGGCCCTGCGGTGAGCGATCTTAGTGCCAGGGATGGGGAGGGGCTCCCCGAGATGGCCTGGTGACTGCCCAGCCCCAACCTGGGACCCCAGGCCTAGGAGCACCTTCAACAGAGGAGGATGGGGTTCTCCCCTACAGCGGGGAAGCAGAATGGGGAGACCTGCCCCCCTTGGGACCCTCCTCACCCCTTCTTTGCCTCCTGTCCCCTGAGACCTTTCCTCTCCCAACGGGATTGGCTGCACTTTTGACTTGGCCGGTTCTTGACTGGTGGATGTGGCTGCAATCTGGAGAAGGGAAAGACTGAGGTGGCAGAGCAAACCATTCTCCTGCCCCAGACTCTGTCTGACTGCTCCCCTTTTGTGCGTCCTTGAAAGCTCGCTGCCCAGAGCCAAGTCCAGAACCCAGCGGCCATCTCCATGGTGCCAATTACCAGCAAGTGTCTTTCCTGCGGCACCGGGTTCAGGCAGCTACATCTGCCCCGAAGCTGATGGGGCAGCTTTGCAAGGATCCGGAGCCAGCTCCGGGGGGCCCAGCGCCCCCCACTTGAAGAGGAGCTCAGGCCTCCCTCCGCCTGCCCGTGGAAGGAGCTTTGCCGCAGCCTGTCTGAGTCCATCTGTCTGTCCCCTCCTGCCTGACCCTCTTCCAGTGGCTCTAGGAATTGGGGTCCGGCAGGGACCAAAGGAAAGGAAGAAGTGCCCAGGGCCTGGCACAGACCCCCAGGGTGCCTTGCTCCGTGGGATTGCAACAAGCTACTCTGGAAATTGCTGGACTGGAAAGAACTCTTTCATCCGGGTTTTGGTGGAGGAGCTGCGGGACCCTGATTTCCCAGAACCCCAAGCCCAGAGAGCTCACCATCTCTGCATTTTGGGGTGCTGGATTGGAGAAGGAGTCTGGGGAAAGCTGGGATCGGGACTGGTGGTGCCAAGGTGAGGGTTTTCCAAATAGGAGAATCCCTGCTTATTGGATGAGGTCAAAGGTCATCTTGTCTACCCCTCTGCCTCCAGGCTAGGGGTCTGGGGAGACAACAGAGCTCCCCTATTTTAGTCTTTTTAAACAAACCCTGTGTACTAAGGGCAGAACCCACTGCCCCGGCCTCAATTACCTTGGCTCAAGGAGAGAGGGAGAGCGAGGAGGTGGTATGAGTCCAACTGGGAGTTTCCTTCTCTAGCAGGCCTGGGTAGCTGCCTTCCCGGCCCAGCCCTCCCCGGGGCCTACAGAAGCCCTTTTGCATGCTGGGGAGGACACGGCTGGCCCCTCTTTATAGAAGCACATTTCTGCCACCTCCCCTGGGAGGCACCCAGCAGCCCACCACCCCTCATTACCCAGTCCCTGCTGTGTAGGGCGTAGTCCAGGTTAGCTGGGTAGAGTTAGTGTCCCAAGCCCTGGGGCCTGTTCTTAGCTCGCACATAGTTCTCACAGAGTCCCAGGTGGGGGGTGGAGAGGAGACGGGTACATTCCAGGAGACTACCATCTTCTCGCTGGCCTGGGCCTGGGGCTCTGGAGGCCAGCCCCTCCTCCTCCCCCTGCCCGCCCCTCCCCCTGTAGGGTTGTAGCTGGAGCCGCCTACTATACTCAGATGTTCTGATCTATTATCCTTGGTACTGATTTTTATTTCTGAAGCACTCCTGAGGATGTGAGCCTTGGTGGAGGGCGCCTGGGCTCCATTAGAGGGGATCTTTTTCCACTGAGGTTACCCAGCTGTGTCTGGTCGCACCTTGTCCCTGGTCTCACTCTAGGCTACAGACCAGGCGATTCCTTCCCCTGGAATTCCTCCCCCCACCCCACCACCACCCAGCCTGTTTGAGCCCTGGGCATCCTTTAAAGTCTGGTTGAGTTTGATTGCCTCCGTGGAGTTACTCACACTGCACTCGGAAGGGGCGATGGAGAGGCCCCTTCATCTAGAAGGCCTTCAGAGCTCCCTGGGTTTGTGGGGGTGGAACCCCAAGACGGGAGCAGGAGGCACCGGGGTTCTGAGTGGACTGGCACCTGAGGCCCAGAATTAGCCCCTCCCCATTTGTTTTTTTCAACCAGCGTGACTTCTCTGCTGTTTGTTTATTACTCGCCATTTGGAATATTTTGAGCCAGGAGAGCATCTTCTCTCTCTGCAGCCATGGAGGAGGTTACCACTCTGGTTGTTCACGGGTAGTTTTCAAAGACAGGCAGAACCTGGCTGTCCCAACCAGAGGGAGCAGGGGCTCGGTACCCACCGCCTGAGCCCACCCGCTGGTGTAGGCACAGCCTTTAGAGAGAGAGAGAGAGAGAGAGAGAGCTCCAAAGCAATAACATCCTGGGGGTGGTCCCAGAGGGCCCCCTCACTGACTTTCTTGTTTGTTCTGTGAAATCTCAGCTCACCTCCTGGAAGGGTGGGGCGGGTGGGGGCTGGAGCCCAGTTTCTTTGTATCATGGTTGTGAGCACGTGCGCCCCTTCCAAGGGGCTCTGACCATTTGGCTGAGAACCATCGTCTGTCCTCACCAAGGGATGGGGGATTGGGGAGGGGGCAACCGTGGTCATGAGTAGCTTTGGGAACCTTCAAGCCCAGCCCAGCCCCACTGCTGTCAGATCTTTTGCACTTAAACTCCACCGTTTGGAGAGGTCAGAGAGGGTGGAGCTGGGGGGATTTGGGGTGGTGGGGGGTTGGGGTCTCTAGGGGATGGTTTCTTTTTTCAATCTCTGGGCCAAGGTCACAGGCAGGGGTAGCGTGGGAGAGAAGTCGTCTCCACTTTCCTTCTCCAGAATCTTTTTTTCATACTAAAGAGAAAGGGGCTTTGGGAACATTAGTGAAGTCATTTCCATTTTACAGGCGAGGAGACCAGTGCAGGAAGAGCCGCCTCTGGGGTCACCTGTGAGGTGAGTTCAGTGCCACCCCCAGCCTGGGCCTACTCCTGTTGAGGCTGAACTGGAGCCAGAGCAGGATGAGGTGGGGTCGCCATTTCTCACGACCCTTCCTCCTCCCTTCTCTCAGTAGAGTCTCCCAGTGGCCTTGAAAAGCTGGGCGGGGCAAATTGTAGCCCATCTGAGAGGTAAGGAAACAGAAAGTGACGTGCCAAGACCCCTCAGCAAGAGAGTGGTGGGGACAGAACAGGGGTTCCGTCGTGCTTCCTTCCTTCATGGGACAGGGGACCATTGCTCCAGGGCATGTCTGCCATAATGAGTATTTTTGGCCCTTAAGCCCTGGGCCACCAGCCCTGCTTAGTTCCATCTCTATGGGCTAGTAACTTTTCTGGCCCAGGTTTGGGAAGAGGGTTGCCATGGAGACCTAGCTCTCTTAAGGGTCTGGTCCAGCGGACTGAGGGTGCACAGGATTTGATCCAGGCCTTCAACAGTGGGCGGGGGCTCCCACCAAGAGACCATAACCCTCCAGGACCAATTTGAAGGACTTAAGAAGCACCAGTTGCTGCCTGGGGCTGTGTAGGAGGTGGCTGTGTTACACCTCATCTTAAGAAAACTCTCACAAAACCTTCACATGTAATAATATCTGATCTTCCTGTAGTGCTTTTCAAACTCTTTTATTTTCAAAGTGCTTTTACCGTGCGCGTACCCTCACAGGAGCCCCTAGGCAGTAGGTGGAACCTTTATTAAGAGGGGGAAGCTGAGGCCCTTGGAGGGGAAGGCACCTGCTAAGGTCCCACCGTGAGTTAGTGGGCAAGTCTGAACTAGAACTCAGTTCTCTAGCAGTTCAGAGCTCTTTCTTCTACGCTGAGAGGGAAAGCAGTTTAGGGGGTGGCTATGCACTTTACAAGCTGATTCACCATCCAGTTCCTTAAACCGGAAGCTCCTGGGCACACTTTGGTGTTCAGAAACAGCACTGAACCCACTCCATGTGGAGCACAGCTGTTGCGTCAGGCAAGGCCACCTGCATTTATTTATTGAGCAGCAGCTCTGTGCTAGGCCCAGGAGACCGAGCTATCCCTGTTCCCCTGTCTCCCGCGGCGCTCTGGGAGGGCCCTGTGTCTCTACAGCGGCCCCTCAGAGCAGATAGGGAGCTTTCATGTCCATGCGCTCACCTGACTCACAAACCCTGAGCAGAGGCTGACCGCACGTGGCCATTTTCCTCATAACTTCTGTGAGAGCAAAGTGGAGACTCGCACTCGGGGGCCTTAGACATCACATCTGAAGCCCTGTCACTCGACTGCCTCCTGAGGGGGGTAGCAGGAAGGCTGGACCCCGGGTCCTCAGGCTGGGGCCTCTCCATCCCCCCACCTCTCCCTCATTCCCTCTCCGGGAGCAGGAGCCACTGGGGCCTCTGGGGAGGGAGGGTTTCTGGGGCCCCTGGGTTGGAATGGATCGCGTGTTCATGACCACGTAGCTCATGTTGAAAATTAAAGTTTTTGGCTTTTCTAAACTGGCTTGCTCTGCTTTGTCTTCAGACAGTTCTATCTGGGAAGCTAAGGGCAGTTGGTGTTTTAAGGAGCTGAGGGCTGTGGATGCCAGCATGTCCCACCATGGGCTTTTGTATGCCCCCTCAGGGGCAATCCCAGGAACCCTTCCAGAGGTGCACAGGAGGGGGCAGTATTCCAGATGAACCCAGTCATTTTACAGATGTGGAAACAGGCCTAGGTAGGGGATGAGATTCCCCAAGGTCACATTGCAGGTGACTGGCAGGACCCAGATCTCACAGCTCTCAGGAAAGAGCTGTTGCACAGCATTCAGCTGCATCCAGGTGGCCCCAGCAACATGGTAGGTGTCAGCAAGACCCCTCCCTCCAGAAGTAGGGCTGGCCAAGGACAAAGCATCAGCTTGGGGAGTGGAGGAATGTGCTTCCTTCACACACGGGCCAATTCCTCTCTACATGCTGAGCAAGAGAAAGTGTTTGAATTGTGCCCACTCGTCCACACTGGGTGGTGGTAGATGGTTCCTGTCAGTCCCTCTCCTCCCCGTGCTTCTCATAGTGTGAGCAGCTGGCCTCACTGGTAGGATTCTAGCGTTGAAAATCAGGCATTTTCCCTATAACACAGAAAACCAGCCTCTTCACGCAACAGAAGACTAGCCACCTGTTTCCACTTTGGAGGGCAGCTAGTGACATGGATCTGTGGAGAGCCTCTCCTAGGTGGCTGATGTGGCCACGCCCTCCTAAAACAATCTGGACGACACGGATTTGCACCTACTGGGTGACTTTACAGTCATGCCTGTGCTTATGCTGCGACTTTAATATATTTTTGGAGAGAGGAGAGGGGCTAGCCACAGAAGGGAATGAGAACCTGCCCGTGGCAGAAGACTGCGGCACTACGTCCACGGCCCCTCGCGCCTCTCCAAGCGCAGGCGAGAGTGGTGCACTGATTCTGGAACTCAGACCCTCAGTTCTGGGATCGACCCCCGGTTGGGGTAGGGCTGTCAGATGGACTTCCGCCTCTGGGATAGGGGCCTGCCTGCCCCGCCGCTGTCCACAGCCCCCGGGCTCGCGGGGGGCGAAAAGCCTAGATTGTCGCGGGCCCACATCTCCAGTTGGTGGATGCGGTAGGAGACTGAAGAGGAGCCCCCGGGGCGGGGCGGGCGGCGGGGCAGAGCGGGGCCATGGCTCTCGGGCGCCCCCAGGCGGAGCGGGCTGGCGCGGCGGGCAGCACGCTCTGGCGCGTCGGTGCTGGCTGCCAGGAAGCGCAGGACCACGAGGTTGAGGAAGGCGCCGATTACCGTGAGCCCCAAGAGGATGTAGAGGAAGCTGAAGACCACATAGGGCGGCTTCCTCTGTAGCGCCTCGTCTCTCTGCAGCGCCACGAAGTCGCCGAAGCCGATAGTGGTGAGGGTGATGAAGCAGTAGTAGTAGGCGTGGAAGAAAGTCCAGCCCTCGAAGTGCGCGAAGGCTGCGGCCCCGAGGGCCAGAGTGGCCGCGCACACCAGCAGCCCGGCCACCACCATGTTCTCGGTGGAGACGCGCGGCCGCCGCAGGCCCAGGCAGCGCTTGGCCGCCAGCAGGAGGCGCCGCACCAGCGCGTTCAGCCGCTCGCCCAGGCTCTGGAAGGTGACCAGCGTCAGGGGGATGCCCAGGAGCGCATAGAACATGCAGAAGACCTTGCCCGAGTCCGTGCCTGGCACGGTGTGGCCATACCCTGAAGGGAGAGCAGAGGGGAGGGTCGATGAATGCCTAGCGTCTTTTAACAACACTGTCGCCCTCGGCCTGTCTGCCCATCCCCCAGAGCCAGCAGAGCATCTTCAAAGTGCTAGTTGTAACTAGGTCATTCCCTGGCTCCAAAACCTTGCATGGTTATCCATAATCACTCCAAACTGTAAACAACCCAAATGTCCCCTAGCTGGGGAACGGATAAACAACCTGCGCTACATCTACACAATGGAATTCTTTGGGGCAATAGAAAGGAATGAACTGCAGTTACCTGCAGCAACAAAGAATGGATCTCAAATGTGTTATGCTGAAGCCAAGCTCAAAAGGTACATACCGCATAGTTCCATTTAAATGACATGCTGGCAAAACTATGGGGACAGAGAACAGATCTGTGGTTGCCAGTCACTGAGACTGGAGGAGGGGTTAACTACACAGCGGCATGACAGAATTTTGGAGGGTGACGGAAGTGTTCTTCTGTCTTGAGCGTAGCTGCGGTTATGCAACAGGTCTTCACTTGTCAAAACTCGTAGAAGTGTACACTGAAAAACGGTGAGTTTGACTGTACATAAATTATGTCTTGATTTAAAAAAATAAATCTTCCGGGGCTCCCAGTACCCACAGGGGAAAGTCCTAGTTCTCAGTTGTGTCTGAACTCCTTTGTGATCTGAATCCTTCTCAGATCTCCAGCCTCACCCCATGTTGTTTCCCCAGTCAGCATGTCCCACCCCCACAAGCCTTTTCTCATACTCCACCCCCTACTGCCCTATTTGCCCTGCCCCAGTCCACTTCTTCCCAGATCCTTCTCCAAGTCAGCTCTCACTAAACACCTCTTCAGTCTGCTGTAGCAACTCTTCACTGAGTCCTCTCAACTGTTTAAGGGGCTCTAACCTTGAATGGGCTTCTTTGAATCTTGGAAAGAATGGATATGTGTCTTTTCCAGGAGAGAGAAGTGAAAGCGTTCATGGTATTCTCAAAGGGTCCCATGAGCTAAGAAAAGCCAGGTAGACCTTCCTCAACAGAATATGCCTCCTCTAGCAAGATTGGCCCCATCTGCCAAAATGTAAAATACACAACCCCTTTGACTTGTGGAAGTTAGTCCTCCAAAACGCACACATGTGCAAAGTGATGTATGCATGTAGGTTATCGCCAAAGCATTGTTGCTTATAGTGAACATTTTAGACAACATAAGGTCCATCAATAGAGGCCTGGTTAAATAAATCACGGCGCCATCCGAATGATGGAATATTACACAGCAGCGGTTCCAATCAGGTGACTTTGCTCCTGAGGGGACATTTGGCAATGTCTGGAGACATTTTTGGTTGTCACAATTGGGATGTGGTGGCTGTGTGCTATTGGCATCAGTGGGTAGAAGCCAGGGATGCTGCTAAGCATCCTGCAATGCACAAGACAGCCCCCGCAACAAAGAATTATGTAGTCCAAAATGTCACTAGTGCTGGGGTTGAGAAGAGCTGCTATACAGCCATGAAAAAGGTGACACAGATCTTTAGGGGCTGATACAAAAACATCCCCAACATATATTAAGTTAAAAAAGAGACAAAATAGTGTGTATAATATAATGTGTATGTATATGTGTGTGCATGTTTTAAAGAAATATATAGGCAGGTAATATATCTGGATGGAAACACAAGAAGCTAGTAACTGTATTTGAACCAGGGAAAGGAATTTGTGGGTCAAGGGACAGGATGAGAGGGAGATTTCCTTTTCATTCTGTACCCTTTTGTGCCATGTGAAGTGTACATAACTTATCAAAATACCAACACTATGTTTTTAAATACCGACAGCTCCATTTCCACTTTCTATTGCGTGGCCCTACCTGTTATTGGGTGGTGGAGGGTTCTACTCACCACTAGACTGAGCTCCTTGAGGCCAGAAACCATTCTGGTCACTTCTCAGTGTCCCTTGTCACTAGTGCCCTGCACAGAGCCTGACACAAACTAGGACTCAATGAAAGTTTAATAATCAATCATCATCATCATCATCAAACCAAATCGAAGGGTGGGTGCTACGTGCGGAACAGAGGAACCTCTTTAGGGATGAGGCCAGGCAGTGCTGTTTCCAGCTGTTTGGTGCTATGTCGGATTTTTGGCAGAGAGTGAAATGAATAATGATAATAGCTAAACATGCTGAGTACTCTACATGGATTATCTTATTTAACCCTCTCAATGACTGTATGTGATGATATCCCCAGACACAGATAAGGAAATTAGAATCAGAGGGAAGAAGGTGCCCAAAGGTCACAGGCCTGGGCCATTAACCACTGTCCTCCACTGCTTCTCACTGCCTCTCTTCTCCCCCAGCAGTGCTCCTGCTCCTGGATCCTGGCACCTGGCTCCCTGCAAGGCTGACTTGTGCAGCTGGGACCACATAGCAAGTGCTGGCGCCCCCAGGTGGCCAGAAAAAGCAAAACCGTTTCCATTCAGTCCCTTTCCCCATTCTCCCAGATGTATGTGGGTGGTGTTGGGTAGGCAGGGACGGCCAGGAGAAGAGGCCAAATCGAGCTAGTAGGCCTCCAGAGAAGGAGGGGGAGAGCAGAAGAGGTGGATAGGGTCCCACACCGCTGGGCACGGTGACAAGATAGCTGAGCCAAGATAGGAAAGCAAGGGTGCCCGTGTTGACAAGAGGGAGCCTAAGGGCTGAATGGGAGCTGGGCCCACAGCTGGCAAATCATAAATTGTCATTATTACTAATTAATAGCGCCTATTTAGCCTCAGGCACTGTGCCAAGCATTTTACATGCTTGACCTCATTTAAACCTGGCAACCACCCAATGAGGAAGGAACAACTGCATTTTGCAGTTGAGGAAACCAGAGCTTGGAGAGGTGCAATCAATTACCAGAGAGGGCAGGAGCAACAGAGAAGAGACCAGAACTCTGGTCTATGTTAACTGAAAAAACTCAGGGTTTTAACTCCACTGCTAAACCCCACAAACTCACATTCACTTGCAAGAGCATTATGAAAATATTTCCTCCAAGGCGCAGGCTTCCAGAGTGGGGGCCCAAGCCCAAAGGGGTGCCTGGGCATCAACAACTGGGGCCTAGGGTGTGGTGGGCACCCAGCTTGGAGCCCTGTAGAGCCTGCTTCTCTCCTTTTCTGCTTCCCCATGCTTAGGCTCCGCCAGTCAGTAGCCATGGCAACGGCTGACAGTCCAGATGCTGCAGAGAAAGTGCTCAGGATCCCCGAGGGTGATGTCCAAAGCTTGTGGTAATCAGTCATTCCTTCAATAACTATTTACTGAGTGTCTACTATGTGCCAGGCACTGGCCATACTGCAGTGACTAAGACAGATTAGGAGTAACAGAAGAGTAATTACAGTACAAAAATCGATTTCTTTTTTTAGTGCTTTCTATATGACAGGCCCTTTGCTGAAACAGTCTGCATATATTATTTCTTTGATAATAACGAGAGAGGGCCTATTGGCACCCCTAGTTTACCGAAGAGAAAACTGAGGCTCAGAGAAGTTACACAACTTGTCTCAGGTCACACAGCTAGTATGATGCAGCCAGGCAAGGGAGCAACTCCAGCCACTTGGGCTCCCTGTCCCACTTTATCTGTCTCCCAGCCCCTGGGGTGTTTTCCGGGCACTCTTGCATGCCAGCATCTTGGCAAACTTGACCTAGTGACTTCTCCCATCCCGGACTGCGTGGAATGACAGCCCATTTGCAGAGAGAGGCAAGTGAGGCTCAGCGAGCTGAAATGACTCGTCCAAAGTCATCCCAGCTGGGCAGGGGCAGAGGTGGACTGCAAACCCAGGGCCACCGTGAGCAACTTTGGATGGAGCGGACGCCGATGGGGGTGCTGGGGCGCTCACCGATGGTGGTGATGACGGTGATGGCGAAGTAGAAGGAGCCTGCAAACTTCCACTGGCGGCCGGCGCGGTGCGGCTCAGCCTGCAGTGCCAGGCGCTCCAGCTCGCGGTAGTCCTCGGTGGAGAAGCCGTACTTCCTCCGGAGCTCGCTCCGCTTCTGGGCCAGCAGCCGCTGGCGCCCGCTCTCTGCCTCGGACTCGAGCGCGTCGAAGACCGCGGCCCCCACCAGCAGGTAGGACAGGATGCACAGGACGAGCGCGGCGGTGCGC